ACGACACATGCCACTTTACAGAAGGACGTCTGCAACAAGCAACTCTGGACCTCCTCTCCGGCTCCGACGTCCAATTCCGCCGCGAAACCCGCCTCGACATCGCGCTGGTGAAGAACTTGCCCATTGCGCTGATCTTCCTGCCCGCCGCCGACATCCCAACCTTCGTCGGCGAGGGCCGCGTTGATCTTGGTATCACCGGCCGCGACCAGGTCGCCGAGCATGATGCCACCCTACCCGCCGGCGAAGTCTCCGGCGTGGAGGAGATCCTCGATCTCGGCTTCGGCGGCTGCAAGCTGCAGGTCCAGGTCCCCGAGAAGGGCGACATGACCGAGGCGAAGCAGCTCGTTGGCCGCAACGTCGTGACCAGCTTCACTGCCCTCACTGAGCAGTTCTTCCGTCAGCTTGAGGGTGTCGAGGCGGGCCAGAAGCTCAGCACTAAGATTAAGTATGTTGGCGGTAGTGTCGAGGCTGCTTGCGCTCTCGGTGTTGCGGATGGTATTGTCGATCTTGTTGGTATGTGATCTCCCTCCTTGGGCATTACATTGGCTTTATTGGCAGCATGCTTATATTCCGCGTTCATCAGAATCCGGTGAGACCATGAAGGCCGCCGGCCTCAAGGCTATTGACACCGTCGTCTCGAGTACCGCCGTGCTGGTCAAGGCCCGCGAATCCAACAGCGACATCCTCACCCTCCTCACCTCTCGTATTCGTGGTGTCATCACCGCCCAGAAGTTTGTTCTCTGCCAGTACAACATCCCCCGTACTCAGCTGCCCGTCGCGTCCAAGATCACACCCGGCAAGCGCGCACCTACTATCACTGCCCTTGAGGAGGAGAACTGGGTTGCTGTCAGCTCGATGGTTGAGAAGAAGCGCATTGCTACAGTAATGGATGAGCTGACCAAGGTTGGCGCTACTGATATCTTGGTGATGAACATTGCCAACTCTCGCACGGATTAAAATTTTTGATGACTTGTTTTCTTGTTGGTACTTTCTAGCATTTCTCTCATGATTGGTTATCTCATTTTCCTACTTTATATATTTTTCATGAATTAGGGATATTGTCTTCTTCTTCTTCTTCTTCTTCTTCTTCTTCTTCTTCTTCTTCTTCTTCTTCTTCTTCTTCTTCTTCTTCTTCTTCTTCTTCTTCTTCTTCTTCTTCTTCTTCTTCTTCTTTCTTTCTTTCTTTCTTTTCTTTTTGTGGGATTTTCTCTTTGTTCCGATGGGATTTGGGATGAGGCAAAAGCACATTTTGGTGAGATATTTTGATCTCTTTCGATGCAGGTCATACTAGAAGGGCATTGGGTTATATTGCGGGTTAAAAAACTATTCGTCTTACAATTCGTCCGAACCCGTGTTTAACTTGTATCTTTCTATTTCTATAGATGATAATATCTTCATCTTCCTTGTCAATATGCAAGAAATATATAATGTATATACTCACCTCAAAAGAAACATCAATCATATATCCAAAAACCAGTCCAAACCCACATAAACCTAGAAATCATAAGCGCAAGGCATTGGTATCATCAAGCAGAAATCAGACATAAATCAAAAAATCAAAAAAGTCCAACCAAATAACAATCATAATTCCTTCTCACCAAGCCCAACACCCTCCTTCCTTCCCCGAATAAGAGCCCTCAAACACTGCCCAACCCCCTCAAGATCCCCAAGCAGCCCAACATGCCCGCGATCACTTTTAACCAACCCATCCTTAATAATCCGATATCCAGGCGGAAGCATAGCAGCCGAAGCAAGACAAACCCCATCACCAGCCGCAAATGCCAGATCATCATATGCATCAATATGCTTGATGCCCTCGCGAGAGACAACCCGCGCTCCGTATACAGTCGGCACGGATTTACCGTACAACACAGCCACAGGCGGGTATTTATTCTCGGAGTGATGAGCCGGCCGGAAAGCAAGGTTCGATTTGAACCGTTTCGTCTCGTGCAGTGTGCGCTGGAGATACTCCATTGCTGCGCCCCGTGGGATCGTGCTCGTTGTCGCCGCTTTGGTTGTTGCTGAGCTGCCGCGCGGGTGTTGGACGGGTCCCACTAACCCGTCTGCTGGGGAGTGGGCGGTCTCGTAGGCGTTGTGGGCTTTTTCCGAGGCGTAGGTTGCGACGGAGGACGGGGTTGGCGTTGTGTTTGAGTGGATTGGGGCGTGATAGGCGGATGGGCGGGGAGGGTTGCGGGCTGTGATGTCCTTGTCTGTTGTGGAGATTGGTTGGTTGGTGTCTGAGAGGTTGTAGGCTTCTTGGGTGAGGGATTCGTCTGAGTCGTCGCGCGGAGGCATTGAGAAGCGCTTGCCGATAAGAGGGAGGTCTTTTAGGCCGCGGTTGCTTAGGCTGCCGTTTGTTGGGAGGGCTGGGGCTATGCATGGCGAGAGGCGGTGCTCGTCCCAGGTTTTGGCATCGAAGAAATCGATGCGGAATTCTTGTTTGCTTTGCTTGTCGATGAAGCAGTGGCCGTCTTCGGGGAGGAGGGCGAAGCTTGTGCGGAAGGTGAAGTTCACTTGTGCTGTTAGGACGCGTGAGCTGAGGAGGACGTCGTCGCCGTTGCGGAGGGGTCCGAGGATGTTCACGCAGTGCTGGGGCACGCCTGCGTAGACGACACCTGCGAAAAGGTCCGGTCGTTCGTTGACCGCGTGACGGGTTATGAGGCCTCCCAGGCTGTGGGCAATGACTGTCGCTCCACGGGGTTTCTCGGAGCCTTCTGGTTGGGGTTGGTTGCACGGCAAATTCTCCAAGAAGGCGATGAGTCTGCGCGACAGAAGCTCAGGGCTCAATCGCCAGTCATAGCCGTAATCATGGACACGGAGGTCTCCACGTTGGGCATTGTCGCTCTTGCGCAGTCGTTTCATTAATCGTCGACAGACGTCCACAGGACCAACATGAGAGAGCACACCCGATGGAATAATTGTCTCTTCCATGCGCTCTTCATCCTCTGGGTTCAGTCCGACCTCCAGGTCCACCTTTCGCAGATTCAAGCCAACCTTCATCGGAACCCAGAGTTGTCGGTGAGGCGGTTTCGCCGACCGCAGAATTGATCCTCGGTATCCTCCCAGGATAACAACATCACCCGTAAGCTCGGCCATGGCTTCTTCCAAAATGGGATGTGTCGGATTGGGATTGTTCCGCGGAAGAGGTGGCGGGCTCACAGCACGCTGGGGTGTCTCTTTATTGTCAGAGCCATTGAAAGCGGAATTGGAGCTATTACCAAGCTCTAGAAAGAACTGACGAGAACCCCAATCTGTGCGAATGTCGTGGAGAGTCGGCATACTGAGTAGCCTGCTGCTCGAATCTTGGAGACTATCCTTGATTGCCTTGAATCTGCTGTTCACCTGAGAGTGCACATTCTCGTATAGTGGTCTCTGCTCCAGAGACGATGCCGTGGACGAAGCGCGCAGGTATAGTGATTGATCTGAGGATGACCTCCGCAGACTCGGTGGCCGACCTGTCACAGCTGTGCTAGGTCGCCGGGCAAAAGAATGCTTCGCAGCTGAGGTTCCATCTGGGGATCGCAGCTCAGGAATTGCCTGAAAGGCCTCTCCATCGTCATCATGACCGAAGCCACTCGATCCCCTCGATGCCCGTGGTGAGGGCGGAGTACTCCGATCCAGCGATGACGTTCTCTTCTGCTCCAAGTTCTTTTTAACAGCGGGTGCCACGGTCTGACTGCGCGATCGATTCTGCCCGTTCCCCGGGCCGCGGAACGAGAGCGAAGGCCGCTTCCTCAGCGACGCCAAGTCCGGCAAAAACTTCTTCAGCTCGCCAGACCAGGCACGCGGCCGACGAGGCAATGACGTCTTCAATAAATTGCCGACAAAACTAGTCCGGTGGCTCACAGCTGTGTCCTTGTGTTCCGCCGTAGCCGGGGGCTTGCCCCAACTCGGGGCAAAAAGATCACTGCGGGGACCATGTGGAAGACGGCGCTGCAACTGCGTCTGAACAGAAGGACTCGTGCGCTCTTTTTGCTGTACGTCGGGTTCGGTCTCGAGTTCTACCGTCTCCGGCTCGGCCGTGATGTGCGATGCGAAAAGACCGTCTTCGCCGACAGTATCCGGGATCGTCGCGAAATATTCCCCCTGCTTTTCCAGCACGCGGTTCTTCTCTTCCAGGGGCGTTGCGCGGGCTTTCATGCGGCTTTGTTGGCGGCCAATGCTGACCCCGACCACATCGCCGGCGGCATCTTCGTCGGCGTCTGCGACGGACAGGGGGACCGGGTCGTCGCTGTCGGAGCTCGAGAAGGACGAGTAGTGTGAGGGGGAGTCTGAGGCGGCGATGTTCGGGGACGACTCGGAGGAGTATAATGTCGGGTGTTTCTGCGGCGGAGCCAGCGCCTCTGGATCGTTGCCGATTGAAGTCATCTGGAATATAGAGAGCTCTCAGAGCATGAGGTCGTACATGTACGGGTGTGCGACTGTTCCCAGTGTGATGTAATTGTGGCCCGGGCGTATATAAATATGCAAAGCTTCAATTTCAGGCGCTGATGCAGATTTTAATGCAGTAACTGAATATGTGTAGCTGTGTGGTTGTGATTTTTATTTTCTTATAAACTGGTCGGAAACAGTGGGTTCCACCAGCACAGCCTTCTCGGGTCGCCCGGAAGGCGAAGTCCGTTTGGTGCTTTTGTGCCTCGGGAGATTTGATAGATATTCTGGGCAAATGCTTAGCCTGTGTTGATACCTGCAGCGTTGTCTTCTCCACGATCTACGCGCCCCGTGGTTGAAATCGGGAGATCGGATGCCCTAATTTCCGCAAAACATCATCAACCCACCTTAGCATGTTGACGGCGATGTGAATCATGATGCTTTCTGAATCCTGTTACAATCCTGTTCTATGCAAATTTACCTACGGACTAAATCAACCGGGATCCTATTTCCTACCAGATCGTCGCAATGATGGCATCTCACATAAGATTTCAAGATTTTAACGTTCAATATTATGGGGTAACGCATCATACAGGCATAGGTCAACAGTAGTTCTATCATACACATAATCAACTGCGCCCCGCAAACTTCCCCGACCGAATCTCCTCCTCGCCTTTACGCGCGATGTTCGCATTCCGCTCTGCCCCCTCGTCAGACCCGAAGGCCCGATCAACAGCGGTATTCACGGCTCCACGCAGGGATTCCCCGGCACCCTAAACAAAGTCAATTAGACCAAAGCAGAGTATATATATCGAAAAGACCAACTTACATGAACAGAAGCCGCAGCTCCCTTCACTCCGCGACCGAGATTATCACCGGCCTTTGACCCCGCCATGGAGCTCTTATCAGTCGTGGTGGAGGGCTGATCTTGTCTCGCTGCCCGGTCTGTCATGTTGGCTGTTGGCTTCTCATAGCTTGACCCTGTTGCAGGGTTGTAGCCCTTTGTTGCAGGATCGTAGTCTGATCGTGAATCCTTCATACCCGTCGGGAAGCCCGGGGAGCCTGTTGAGGAACCGCCGGCGACATTATGGTGGGTTCGTTGGGTCGGTTCGTAGGTTTCGTTATTCATGGTCGTATATTTAGCTTGATATATGTATACAATGTTGGTTATTACAATTGAAGATAGAAGCCGAGGGACTTGGACTTAATTTATAGTTGTCGATGACGTCAGGATGAGCTTAAGGAGGCTCTTCGATCCAAAGATCTATGAAGTATACAATAATCTATAACGTTTGCAGTTGGCATTCTTCTTGTGGTACACTGCATCACCGATTCCCAAATGCATCATTAGACATTAACAATGCATAAAAAGTATCAATAATCATTCCCGAGCCGAGGTCCAGGAGCAGTTTTCCTAATCTGGGAGCCTCTCCGATACCCCAGACTCCCTTTTCTTCAGCGCCATTCTCTCCCTCCCCGTTTTTCTTTTAATTTATCTCTGTAACCCTTAACCTCTCACACACACTCTCTCTGTATACAATCCTCCAAAATGTCCTACAAGCAAATCATCTACACCACCCCGCCAGCCCCGGCCATCGACCCCTCCCTCACAACAGGAACCTTCCGCGTGAACACAACCCCCAAACCACAAAATGTCCCAGCGGACAAAGTCCTCGTGCGCGTGCACTACCTCTCTCTCGATCCAGCCATGCGCCAATGGCTAACCGCCAAACGCTCCTACATTGCCCCCGTCGAACAAGGCGCCGTAATGCGCGGCCAGAGCATTGCCCAAGTGGTCTCCGTCGGCAGCGACCTAACAACTCAATACAAGGTCGGCGACTGGGTAGTCGCCTACTCCGGCTGGCAGGAATATGCACTAGTCGGCGCCAAAGAAGCCGAGAAGGTCACCGTCCCGGCCGGCGGCCGCCCCACAGATGCCATGTCCGTTCTCGGTATGACCGGGCTGACGGCGTACTTTGGTATGCTTGAAGTTGGGCAGCCGAAGGCTGGAGACACAGTTGTCGTTTCTGGGGCTGCTGGTGCGACGGGCATGGTTGCTGGTCAGATTGCAAAGATTAAGGGTGCGAAGCGGGTTGTCGGGTTGGCGGGGAGTAAGGAGAAGTGTGAGTTCCTTGTGAAGGAACTGGGTTTTGATGCCGCGGTCAATTATAAGGATACCGATTGGAAGAAGCAGCTTAAGGAGGCTACACCCGAGTATATTGATGTTTTCTTTGATAATACTGGTGGTGAGATTCTTGATGCTTGTCTTGCGAGGGCTGCGAGGGATTCGCGTTTTGTTATTTGTGGTGCTATCAGTCAGTATAACTCTGCTAAGCCGCAGGGTCCGGCTAGCTTTATGACTGTCATTGTGAGTTTGGTTCTTGGTTCTTGTTTTGGGGGGGATTAGCTAACTGTTGGCAGTCGCAACGTATTACTATCAAGGGCTTTATTGTCTTTGATTATGCGAAGAAGTATCCCACTGCCCTGAAGGAGCTGGCCTCCTGGTTGTCTCAGGGTAAGCTCAAGCGCAAGGAGCATATTGTCCCTGGTGGTCTGGAAGCGGCGCCCAAGGCCCTGATTGATCTCTATGCCGGTGTCAACACTGGTAAGATGATGGTAGAAGTCGTCCCGGTCAGCGAGGCCTTGGCTGCCAAGTCCAAGCTGTGAGATTAGAACCCTGTGTCATATAGCGGTACACTTGGAAGACAGGGAGAAGGATCTACATACAACATACGCAAATCTAAGCACAAAAGAAGAAACTTTAAATCAAATTGCACTAGAAATATCTCACACAGTCCCAGCAGCAAGAACGTATCCCCCGTCAACAACAACACTCTGTCCATTCAGATACTGATTCGTCACCGCAAAAAGCACAGCACTAGCCATATCCTCATCCTTCCCAGGTCGAGAAGCCGGAACCTTCTTCTCATATTTCTCAGCAGGAATGAAACTCTTCTGCTTCTCATCACTCTCACCAGCAGTCATCTCACTAGGGAAAACACCAGGCGCAATATTATTAACGCGGATCCGCAAATTCGAAGAAGAGATCTCATGCGCCAACATTTTCGTCAAATGGATCGCCGCCGCTTTGGAAGCATTATACGCAAAATGATGTTGCGATACCTTCACAATACCCGAAATGGAAGTGGTATTGATCACAGTACTCGACCAGCCTCGTTCGGCCTCAGACCCCTTCTTGAGAAGGGGTAGGAAAGCAGTTGTCATGAAGAAGAGCTGCGAGACATTCGTGCGGAAGACATCGTCCCATTGAGCGAAGGTGGCGTTGGGGTCGTCGAAAAGTGATTCACGGAGTTTACCTGCATCTCCGTGTTCTGTCTCTTGGGTTTTATTGGAGATGCCGGCGTTGTTTATCAGGATCGAGAGATGGTCTTCACGGGAGGACACTTCTTTGACTAGATTGCTGATATCGGTCTTTTTGGTGATGTCGCCTGTGAGGGGGATGATTTCACCGCTGATGTTTTTGTTGTAAAGCTCGGCTACTCTGTCCAGCTTTTCTTCTGTTCGGCCGACTATGTAGACTTTGGCGCCGTTTACTGCTAGGGCTTGGGTGGCCATTAGGCCGATGCCTGAGCCGCCGCCTGTGATCAGGGCCACTTTTGGGTCTGATTAGAAGCTGTTGGTATGGTTTTTGGTGTATGCGTGGCTTTACCTTTGTTTTTCACATTGAATAGGTTCTCGAGCTTGAAGTTCTGGTTACTTTGTTGCGCCTCCATTTCGATCTTGTTTGAGACAGGAGACTTTTGTGCAGATAAGGTCACGAACTGGCGGGATGGTGGATAAGGAGAGAGATTCTGTAGAGCAATTGACGGGTATAGCAACTTCGGAGAGTTCTTCAAGTAAAGAGCCGAAATAAATCGTCGAGTTGGGATATGAATTCGCGACATGGTTGCCGAAGTTGACGTGGGTTTATATACGGGAAAGACAAGACTGGGACTAATCGACAACCATGAAATATGTTGGAATCTAAAACCTGTTCTCGTGGAAACTTGCCTGTTGCAAATACAGGTTATTGGTTATTATTCATGTGTTGGTCATAGATTAGTGACTGGTTTGTCTCCCATCGACGTTCTTTTGTGGATCTTCTTATAACAGGGAGTCGGTTTATTTCGAGACATGGATCTTTCAATAGCCAGTCGTAGACATCAGTCTAGGCAAAGTTAATTCATGTTTCTGGTTTTATTGTGTAAGACAGGAGCTTGTTTTAATACTTAGTAGATGTCATATATCAGAATGATGTAATAACTATGTCGACCTCTGCCAAGTTACATTTTTGCTACGTTGACTACGCGGCATGTAGAAATAAGACGAACAGCTCAGCTATGTAGATACAAGAGGGTTAGAATAAATCTAGTGTTATAACTATAAGCTTACGAGAGAGTTCTATCCTTGCCATGTTCCAAGGCTTCGAAATTCAGATATATATTTCGTATAGACAACCTAAATAGAGTCTGTATTCGATCCTAATTACCAACACCTAGTCGACATATAGAGCAAACTAATCATGATTTTAATCTTAACCTCAGGTCATTGATGTACCCGTTGCATGTTCAGTGAAAGATAACGCACGAACCGAACATATCGGGAACAACTGGAAGTTAACCACTAAATTTCCTATCGTTCATTGAGTAGCATGCGGAGACTTAGCGATCTACACTGATTGTTTATATGTTTGTTAGCTCAATATTTCAACTTATCCTCTGGCATACTGGTGGGGAATAAAGATTCCCGTGGCGGAAGACGGCTGTAGATGTGTTGGGAGACTGCATGATATAGTCTTGGAGGATATCGTTCACTGCGAGGAAAATTTACTAGACACCACGTAGGTTATAATGTCCTGGTTTGCAACGTCCAAGGTTCCCAAGGTGTGTATACCTTATGAGATAAATGACCATTGAATGCCCGCGACATCCCTACAATGGGCCACTGAAATCGTAAATTCAGTGCTCATATTCATACATCGTTAAGCATGCTAGTGTACAGTGTAATACACAGTCTTCCCCGATGGAAAAAGAACAAATTGACACCCACGAAGAAACCATAGCAAATAGCAATCCATGTGGGTGTGAATATATGCTTAGTTTCCAGGGCATGGGGGAATGGTAAAGCTACCACATTCACTGATTCAGTCCTCGTCCAATTTCATTCCTCGTTACCCATAACTCCTCCACAAAAGTACTCGTAACATCACAAGTTTGGGGATCTGTTGATTTAGTCAATATTGCCAGGGAGGTAGAGGAGAGAAAAGTCGTGTTGATCTCCCTCAGAGATGGTCTCCTCGGATGGGGCTAGGTGGCCCATTGGTTGCCAGCTGGTCTGGTCCATGTGGCCGTGGTCATATAGGTTTCCATAGACGGGGCCTTTCGAAGGGGCGAGCAGGGGATTGGCATGGTATCCACTCTTGTTGAAGTCGCGGTAATGGTCACTAAGCACCGACTCATCAAAGAAGTATCCGGGTGAGGGATCACCGTTGTCGACGGCAGCGCGCTTGGCAAATGGAGAGTGCCAGCCGTGAGCATCAATGCGACCATGAGGGTCCAAAATGGGCTCAATGTTCTCCTTGTCAAGCGCGGTTTGCCCAATCTTCGAGCCATGCATGCCAAAGGCGTTTGACTTTCCGTCCAAAACAAGATGCTTGGGGGTCAGTGTATCAAAATATGCTGTACTGGGTCGCTCTTGGCCCTTGAGGGAGAATTTGTGGTCGTCTTCATCGGTGAAAACGCTGAAGCCACCCTGCGACTTCTTTCCAAATGCCTGGACAGCAAGACCCAGTTCATCATCTTCATCTGTGTAGGATACAGTGCGGTCTGTTGTGCGCTGAGACCGACGAGGTGATCTGCGTGGTCCCTCGGCCATTTCCTTCGTCTTCTTGGTACCTTCATATGCAGCAGTTTTCGCGCGTTTCCTGTCCACGGCACGGGGCATGTTGGGGTCAGCTCGTTCCAAGGCGAGTTTTCTGGGGCGGGTGAAATGACGGCGGGGAATCGGAGTCTCTCCTTTCAATGGGCTGTGGTCTTCAACATTGCCCGAAATCACACGGAGCTTTCGAAGGGTACCAGACGGAGAAAAGACCATTTCAGTGGGGGTCACGAGCAACGAAGTCAATTCCATTCTCTTAAGTGAGGAACTGTCCTTCTTCTGGTTGCGCTTGAGCTTCATCTTCTGTGTAGCAGAGTCAAAGATATCCATGCCAGGCCACAAAACGCCCTTCAGTCTTGCGATTTCGTCAGCACGAGCCTTGTCCACAACGCCACCAGATGCGTGGGAAACTGGTTCCACAAGAGGCTCGAGGGTGTCTCGGGAGGAAGCCCAGGCAATCTCTTCAGGCTTTCGTCGGTTTCGGGGCCGAGTGGGTGTCACGGGTAGGGTTGGGTAGTCTCTGTCCTTTGGCACAGGTGTGCCCCCAGATTGCCAGTTGTTCGAGAATCGACCGGAGCGGAGGAAAGGACCGGTGGAAGAGTTTGCACTCATGACCTTGGTGGTCGATCCCTTTGGAGTATTGATGGGTGCGAATGTTGAATATTCTGTGTCTTCATGTTTGCCAAGGAATGGATCAGCCAGACGAGGGTCAATACAATCAGAGATTGAAGTTGTTGAACGCGTTGAAACGGAGGCATCAGTGGCACGTTTCTTTGGAGGGGGTTTGTTGATGTTGTCTTCCGACTTTCTCTTCTTGTTGCGGCATTTTTTGTTGGACAAACGCTCGGCCAACTGCCTGGGGATGTCATTTGCTTTGGACCATAGTTCGTACTCCTCGAGGAGTTCGGTGGCATCGTCTTCATGGTGACTGCGGACGGTGAGCTTAAACGTGTGGGACAGATGAGCCTTGGAGGCCACGTGGGTCAACAAATGGGAGCTATCACAGAATCGGGGCTGCCCAGGGCAGATGATGCACTGGAGTGAAGTATCCATTGCTCCAAGAGACACAGACTAGATGCAAAAGGAAGGGGCAGTAGAATTGTCCAAGAGCACGTGTGGCGAACAGTGAAGTCGACGAAGGAACGATGAAGATGTGAAAAGGTAAACAAGCAAGACGTGACCAAAAGACAACAGCCGTACCTGCCCTTTTGACGATCTACGGTTGGGTTGGGAAGGTGCCGGTCACGGGAGTCACGGGTTCATGAGGCCAATAGGTATTCAACATCAATGTCTGTTATTGTCAATGTAATTCACTATCCTGTTGTATGTACCACGATGTCTTAACAGCCTTAGGCCATTGTGGGGGGATATGAAGCGGAATAAGTCAAAGTGGTTATTGATCTCCTCCCGCATTGTATCCCGTGGTCCATGGGCAAAGAACATTCACGGGTTATTAGATTGCGGGAGGGTAATAAATAGATGCAATTCAATACATTTCACCTCAGATATTTGATGATGGACTTGGGCATACAACTAGATAATGTTAGCAATCTATCCCATATCACGTGCAGAATCAACTCACTAAACAGGGTCGATCTCCTCAAGACCTTCAAACTTAAGTAGACTTAACCCCGCAAGGCTAAAGTGTGTATGATAGACATCAACCATGTTGCCTGGTCGATCAGCAAAGCCTCCAGCATCGGGATCCTGAATAACGTTAGGACGGTGTCATATAATTTCCAAGGGTACACTAACCTGACATTGCAATACAAACGCAGCAAGCTTCTTTCCATCGATCCAGTGCAGACGGTCAATCATGGCAAGACTTGATCCAACCCACCAGCTATAGCACGCATCGGCCAGCTTCTCTGGTCGGCCATTGAAGCCACCACTCTCAATCTGTCTTTCACTGAGCCAGGCCCCTAGGCGATCCTTGTTCACCAGATCCAAGCGGCCCGCAATAGCCAGGGCACCAATGCAAGTGAACACCTGACCAGCATGAGACTCGGCGCCAGGGCTAATACCATAACCGCCATCCAAGTTCTCACAGCTTTGAATGTGAGCAACAGCCTTGGGAACATCGACTAGTTCCAGAAGACGCAACAGCGATAGTGCATTGAGAGCACCATACAGGAATCGGGTATCGGTTTCACCCCACTGGTCTCCCTTGAAGGAGCCATCTGCGTTCTGCAGGTTTGCAATGACTGTAACGGGTTAGTGTCCTAGACTGTTGATCATGTTCGAGAGGAGGGCCGTACAAGACCCAACTTTCTCCTTGCCGCCTCGGCCTCGGTTCTCGAGTTCATCCACAGCATCAATGGTGACGAGGATCTGGACAGCCGAGACGGTGTAGAGCATGTGGGCGTCGTGGCCTGGTGCCGCGCCGAAACCTCCATTGTCGCTTTGACATGACAGCACAAAGTCGATGGTCTGATCTCGAGGCAAGGCATCTGGTTGACCCAAAATATGCAAGGCCGTCAAACCCCAGTACACGCCATTCAGTCGAAGATGCTCGGTCAGCCAGTATTCCAATTCATCCTTCCTCTATGATCCGTCAGACGCCCGACGCGTTGTTTTCTTTCAAGGAGCACGCACTGTGTCCAGGTTCTTGATGTAAGTCACATGTTTCATGGTATGCAGTTCAGTATCTGCGGGGCTACCCCCAGCCCTCCCCGGGCCCGATACTAAAGCCATTGTCGATGGGGGCTGAAGTTTAGAAAGCAGGATGGTGATTGGAGGAAGTTAGTTGAGGATCCGAGAGCTGAGACCATTAATAGGGCGGTGAAGCCATCCAGTCAAGCTAGATCATTACAGTTAGCCGGTGGCTTGCACATGGGATGCAGGGAGTTTGCGGTTT